GCTGATGTTTCAGGTTGGGACCCTTCTTCAGAAAAGGGGCTTCAGAAGGATCCCAACCCAAAACGTCAGCTTTCCTGCTCCTCTGATGCTACCGGCCTGCTGGGCTCCTCCAGATTCACACTATATTATCTCTGACTCCAACATCGGCAGTTCTTACTATCTCTAGAAGTGAAAGAAGTTGCATTTGTTCAGATATCCAGAAAGTCCCAAAAATCAGGAAACGATATAGAACTCAAGGGGGCCATTTCCCCTATTCCAATTCCCACTGATCTTCTTCCACAGCCATGCAAGGTTTCACCTTCTCAATGACATACCCAATTCTCTATTGCTTTAAAATGCATTCAAGGGCTGTGGCTTGGCCAGCATTTGTTGCCCATCCTTCATAGCGTTTGAGAAGGTGGTGATGTTGTAACATTACAATTCACATTGAGCAGATACACTACAGTACTGTTAAAAGGGGAGTTTCAGGCTGTTGACCTCGCAATAGTGAAGGAATGGCGACATAGTTTCAAGTCAGGATGGTGTGTCAGGAGAGCAAACCTGTAAGGTATTGGATGGGGAGCTTACGAAGTGGGTTAAATTGTTCTAGAAGGTATCAACCTACTTGAGTGCTGTTGTGGCCATATTCATCCAGGCAAGTGGAGAGTATTCCAAATGCCTTGTTGATGGATTACAGTTTTCATAGATGTAGTATCAAATCTGCTTTCACAGCCCTTTCTGGCAGCACATAACAAATTGTGCAATTAGCTATTCGTAAAAAACAAATCTCATCTTACCTCAAGGTCTTTCATTATAGCAGTGATCATTTCTTAACAGAATTTCACTGTATTCAGGAACAGATTGCAGGCATTGGATTGAAAAGATACTTCCTTATACCTGCCCTAAATTGAAGGTACGGTCTGAATAGCACACAAGACAATTTGATCACATCATTCCTAACTTGTATTCTAGTATTTTGTATTGAAAAAGCTCAACACCATCCAGGGCAAAGTAGCTGGCTTGATTTGCACTAATCCACCATCAACACACAGTGGCAACATGTATACAATCTACAAGATGTATCATAGCAACTTGCCAAGCATCCTTCAACAGCACCTTACAAACTCTGACTTCTACCACGTCATAAGACAAGGACAGCAGATGTATGGGAACACTACCAGCTGCAAGTTGCCCACCAAATCTCTCACAATCTGCCTTGGAATTATATGCTACTCCACTGTCACTGTGTCAAAATCCTGGAACTTACTTCCTAACATCACTATGAGTGTATTTATTCCATGTGAACTGCTGCAGGTTCAAGACAGCAGCTCATCATCAACTTCTCAATGGCAATTAAGGTTGGGCAATAAAAATTGTTCTTGTCAGCACATCTAATGTTCAATGAATGAATTTAATAAACTGCTTAATTAAACTTTGGCTATCTTGACTTTCACTGGGTCGATGTAGTGAGCATCGAATCGACTGTAACTGCAAATACAAAATGAAAAATAATCCTTTGGAAGGTATGCCATTTTTTACAAAGTCACCAAGAATGAAAGTTATAGTGTTATGTTAAACCTTTATAGATCATTGTCTTGGTCTCAGCTGGAGTATTGTGTCCAAGTTCACACGCTACACTTCAGAAAATACATCAGCAGCCCTTGAGAAGGTGCCAAGGAGATTTACCAGAATGATACCAAGGATAAGAGATTTTAGTTATGTGGACAGATTGAGTTGTTCTCTTTACAGCAGAAAGGACTAGGGGTGATTTCAAATGGTGTTCAAGTTTGAGGGGTTTTGCGAAAGTAATTAAGGAGAAACTCTTACCACTGGCAGGAAGGTCAGTGAACCAATTTAAGGTAGTTGGCAAAAGAAAGAGAGATGAGGTTTTTTTTGTTATTCAATGACCATTCTTACCTCAGCCATCTACACTGAAGCTAACACAAAGTGAGGCAAAGGACCTCAACTTTTTATTAAGCATTTTATAAACTAGTGGTCCAAAACCAAGTTCAGCAACTTTAGCATATAACCAACATTTTCTCATGCCAGGAGCTGGTAGTAGTTCTACATTTAATCACCAACACATCCTGTAGATGTATCTTTATTATTTTTCTTGTCCTATTACCCTTTCCTTTTCCCACGCATGATCATTATATTTGCAACTTAATCATTCCTACATCCAACCTTTCACAGAACTTCCTTTGCCTTTATCTAAATCATCCTGCACTGTCCGTGTATTGGTTTATAAACATTAAATCCCTAACTTCTTCTACATGTGATGAAAGTTCATCAACCAGAAAGTTAATTTTTCTCTTTGCACTGATGCTGAACGCTCTTTCCAACATTTTCTATGTTTATGGCTTTAAAAATGTTTTCACTTAATCTGAATCATGATTAAACTTGACATTAAATTGCCTTATAGTATTTCTTCTGCGTAGCATAGTGTGGGTAAGAGGTCTATACATCAGACCACACGTTTTTGCAATCACCCACAGAGGAAATTAAGTGACTGTATTCAGAGATTCCTATATACATTTAAACTAATTCTTTAAATAGCTTAGCAAGTTAACCACACATTTAAAAGACATAGCTATCGGTAGACTTTCCATGATGTCTTTATGCATCTACATATGGTGCTTAATTACCCCAGCTTTGGTACTAAAACAAATAAGTTGTAGCGTACATCAAGACTACATCACATCCAAAAGTCCTTAAAGCCAATAAGTGTAGTATACTCAGACAATTTTCACACACAATCTTGCACACTCGGTAATCTGCTGTAGAGATGAACAAATAGGAGAATTTCCCTGCTCCTCTTCAAATTATGCTCAAAGTCATTTGTCTAAGAGGGAGAGAGTCATCTCTGACAGTATAGCCTAAATATTGGGCATGCTTTTGCCCTCTCTGGAGGCACAGACTTGGGTCACAATGTACTGTAAACGCAAAGATGAAGCCCCATATCTCAGGAAGGATGTACTGGCCCTGGAGAAGGTTCAGAGGAGGCTCACAAGAATGCTCCCAGGAATGAAAAGCTTAACATATGAGGAACATTTGAGGACTCTGGGACTACACTCATTGGAGTTCAGACAGATGAGGGGGGATCTAATTGAAACTTTCAGAATACTGAATGGCCTGGACAGAGTGGATGTTGGGAAGATGTTTTCATTTGTAGGAGAGACTAGGACCCGAGGGCACAGACTT